ATATCCCATCCCCGTTTGATTTGCCGCTATTAAGATGAGAGTGAGAGCATCCAAGACATCATCCTCAGAGAATTTCACATCACATATATGAGAGGCAGTCACTGAAGATTGGATGGAAGACTGAAGAGAGATGTGAGGTGACGAAGAGTGTGTATTGAGAATGCCCTCAAGCTTTGAAGCAAACACATTAGCAATATTGCAACCACCAGCTACTCCATCAACAACAGGGGCGAATGAGATGAAGAACTCTTTAGTTTTCTTACATCAGACCAAATGAGGACTTTTTACTGTTAAACAAAAGAGTAAGCAAGACGACAAACCTCATACTTATACCTTCTCTTTACATTTTTCTTGATTGTGATAAGACACCAGAAGATGGAGAGCCAGACTCCTCCCAGATCTTGTACCAGAACATCGATGATTCTATTGACTGACTGAGTCCAACCAACAAGTCTTCTACGAGTGGTGGAGACAGAGCGAGTAGGAAAACAAGCGAGAGCACATGTGAGCAAGGAAGAGATGAGATGAGAGCCATAGGTATCCAATACAGAATGATGAGCAGTACATGGGGGCGATGAGCATTCCAAGATTTCAGCTAGTAAGGTGGGGGATATGCACAGAGACCATTGAGCAATACTTCTCAATACAATTAGGTGTGATTCTCGACCAATCGACATGCCGCAACGGACTAGGAGACAATGACTGACTCTTATGGACTGGAGTGAAGTCTGCTTTAATGAGCAGTGTAAGTGGTCAGATAAATAACAAACCAGAATGATTGCCTGTACATCTGATAGTAGAACAAGCGGCTGAGAGCATAATATGATCGATCCAAGATGACAGAGTCGTCATCCATTGCTTCCACGATGGAGAAGGGAGAGAGGAAGAAGGGACGGAACAAGTCAAAAAGAGAGCGAGGCGGGGAGAGTAAAGCAATGGAAGGAAGCGGAGGAAATGGAAAACATTATCAACTCAATTTCATCCCCTCCCTCCCTCCCCCGCCTATCCCTTTCTCCCATCTTTACGGCTCTCAACGAATAACTAAAATTCGTTATCCCTGTCATTTCAACGCTCATAAGTACACGTGACTCATCATGGAAAGAAAAATCACAAGAAACCAGACCACGATTAGACATAAACTCACACAACAATTTGGAATGAGAACTGGAACGATCAAATTTACATTAAAATCACCAACAATGAAAACATTATCACAGTGATTGCCGAATCCCTCCAATTCTCCCATGGTATTTAAGAATTCTGTGTAAGAAGAAGGACCAGAATCATCAGGCATGTAGATACTGATCAACAAGGAAGTAAAACCAGTAGAATCACAAAATTTGACAGCACAAAAACGATTAGAAGAAGTTTCTAAAAAATAAATACACGAAGCTAAGCACTTCCGATAAAGAATAGCGCACCCACCGAATGGTCTACCAAGAAGAAACTTCCATGCCACTCACACCAACTGAGAGGAAATCAGGACTAATTTCATGAATTTTATGTAACTGATCATTTAATTAATAGCCAATGCTCTTGAACAAAGCAAACATCAAGGGAATTGATAAACTTATTAAGAGTACGTACACCACTATTCCAGCCTCTGCAATTAAAAGAGCAAGATGTAAGCTGAGCCATCATTGATAATCAAGCTACCCTGAGCAAACAGCAGAGAGGAAAAGGATGAAGAATAAGGATGCGAGGGAGGTTGAGATACAGCACAAATTGGCAAAGGGCACTGCGAGGAAGCTTCAAACACGGCTGGTGAGACAGAACACCTACTGCGCTGGGCATTGCTTGCAAGAGTGCTTGAGGTGGACCAGCTGAAACAGCACCGCTTGTGGAGGAGCTGCAAACAGAACTAACAGGAGCGTCCACAGAGGGGTCACCAGGAGGAGTTGAATCAAGAGATGCAATGGGCTTCCTTGCACGCAATTTGTGATCAGGAGGCACATCCTCACGCAAGAATAGGTGCTTTATACGAAAGTCTTTTAATGCAGTCTTCCGAAGTAAAACAAGCTTACGATCCCAAGCAGTGCACAACTTAATTAGAACTGGACGTGGACGAGACATGGAGGAGGTCGACCGTACATACTTTCCTAATCGAAACATATCCTTAATTTGAACTGATTTGCCAGAAACAAACTATAATATTTCATCAACAACCTTCTTGGACTCTACAAGGGATTTCCCCTCGGGCAACCCAAAGAGGATTATATTACTCGCACGCTCGTCAGCAGAGGAAGACCTCTGGGGAGTAAAACTTTTACGTGAGACCACTGAAGAGGAATGTGTAGCAACAGGAGTAGGAGCAGAAGAGGTAACGGTGGCATAACTGACAGCTGACTGAGCACCACAGGCAGCAGCTGGAGAGGCACAAGGAACTATAAGAAAGTGGAAAGCTTCCTTTCAAGGCCCTCAATTACAGAGAAAAGGGCATTCAACACCTGTGAGTTAGAATGTACCTGCTCAGCAACTGGATCAAGAGAAAGAGGGGAAATCCTGTGCAGCTGAGAAGCCTCACAGTAGATAGTGGGAATAGTGTCAGAAGGTTGGCTACAAGTTGACTACCATTGTCTGAATCACGACGTGCGTGAAACACCAAACCGTTAGCCTCAAGAACAACTACAGTGATCCCACAAAAGCCTCTTAGCAACCTCTACATCATTATTGCAAAACCGCTCACCCACAATTCTTCTAAGGGTGTCTGTGTCGCCCTTTAGACGGTAGGCCACCACAAAAGAGAGAACAGTGTTGACCAACAAGGGTTTGTGCCTAACAGCACCAGAGAAAGGAGTCAAACCTGTGTTATCTACAGAAAAACCCGACAGAGCGGAATGAGAGCAAGGTAAACAAGGGCTGTGATTTCCAGAGACAGAGTCACCCTGCACAGCATCTGAAAGGGTGCCAGTAGAGTTTAAGGATTCTGACTGACTGACTTGTGGCAACAAACAAGGCAAACTTGCAGAAATAAGGCCACTAACAGACCTCGAAACAGTAGAACTAACAACAACAACAGGTTGTGTAACAGAAGGCAGGCTCTGATGAAGCGAAAGGAAATAATCCGATAAAGGCTTTGCAAGGTGGTGCAAGGACTGTTTCCATGCACTTCACTCATGAAGCTACAGGTACAAACCTCCGGAAACATTACCACAGGTAACAATTAAAGTGCAAACCCTAGGCGAACTGCGCATGCGCGGTACCGCTAATGCGGGCTGGCGCATAGAGTCTGACAAGGGCTAGCTACGGTAGTAGATAGCATGTGGGAGTCGATACACGCCCTTCGCTGTGGTTTCTTGTGCCTCCAAGGTACACTGAGCAGGGGCGTAGCCAGGACTGCGTGTGGGTTTCCCGCCACTATTGCGCATGTGCGTAACTACGCGTGCTTGTGTGTTTACGTAGGTATATTATACGTACAGTATAGAATCAGCTATACACTTCATCTTGTGTAACAAAGAGACTAAGGAGACAGAGGAGGCAGTAGACAAAATTGGGAAGGGAACAGCCAGGGAAGTCTTTAATGAGTCTCTTTAGAGCTGCTGCTCAGAGAGAAAAGCGACGGATAATGAAGACATGGTTAGAAGATTATTTTGATAGAAGTTATATATGGAATGGTACAATAATAATGACACTCATGAGTATTATCACTGGAGTATGGCATGGGTATGTTTTGAAGAAGGTTACATGGTGAAAGAGACAAAATGGTACGCATGAAGAAAGCTTGTTTTCCTTTCAGCACTTACAGAGGTAACATAACCACTTCTTGGTGTATATAAAACTTTTGTCAATCTTTACACAAGAATCAATGTGATACCATTCCCGGCATGCCCCACACTGGATGAATTGAGCTCCAAGTGTTAGCGGCCTTCTACAACTGCAGTATACATTGAATCGATTGCAAAATGACATGAGTGTGCTGAGTATTTCAAAATCTGAAAATTTGAAACGGAACTTGAGACACTATTTACATCTTTATATAATTATGGTGGCACAGTCTGACAGTTAGCTATTATCAGTACACACAGGATGATTGCCTCTGACTCACTACAAAATAAGCTGGAAAACATAGCTACAGATCCATGCAGCATTGTCTGTGACACTTGAATTTTGTTCACATTACAAGCACTCTTGATTCATGATCCTTGTATTTCAATGTCTTGTGATTAATGGAGCAACACCCTGATTATTAGCCTCATCCATCGCACCTTCTCCTATGGATTGCATATCTCTCCAAATAGGAACTTGTAGCTATATACATGATCTTCATTCCCTCCCCACTCACGTTTGTTTTGCAAATTTGGAGGCCCCATCTCATGCAATAGAACTTATCAAGCGACATGCAACTTAATACATATGGAACGATTTTCACTTTGACTATGAAGTTAACATTCAATCTTTTAACCTTAACTTTTAATCTTTCATTCCATTTTATGTGTCTATGTGCTAAGCGTTGCTATGTGTTCATCCGTAGTTATTCTACGACTTAGAACATCAGCATTTCTATTAGGTGTTCCCTCAGTACATGTCACAATAAATGGCACTCTCTCCTCACTAGCCTGCTTTCACTGTTTTCTATCATGTATTAATGAATACTGTTTCATGGAGCATGTAGACTCTTTCTCGTCAGTTTGTGAGATGCACATTGATGCTTCCTTCACCAGGCCTCAACTCTCTTCGTAAAAGGCTTTATATAAGTGTTGTTGGCTAAAAAAAGAAAAACTGTGGCAACACAAATAAAAACACTGCCCCACGGGTGCCTCAAACATACAGCTCTATTAGCAGCAGGAAAACATGCTCTCTCGTTTCTTAATGTGCTGAGTTACTAACATATATAATACTAATATACTAGTAATACTAATACACTAAAGGAACGCAGCGCATTGTTGGCAAGTGAGCGCGAGCAGTTCATCATTTCGCGCGTTTTTTGTGGGTACTTAGAATCACATAGTACATGACAATAATGACAGCGCCCAACCAATTGATAGAAAACTTCCCACACTACACTACGTAGGGTTGCTTCGCTCTCCAACAACGATTTTGTGCCACTGTTGACATAAAGTAAAGTCTATATAGTGACACTCTAATTACAAAAAAGGGGAACACACATACATAATCATTATACACATGCAAAAGATCAATGTCTTGTTCTGGCAGTTGACTCTCTACGAAGAGCACTCTATACATACTCTCACACAAACTAAGTGTTAGTTACTCCACAAGTCCTGTCCCACATCTCACAAACGGCCGCCATCCCGATTGTCATCAAAATTGGGATTCCTGCACACAAACACGTTAATGTTTGATTGACTCACACATTCCTATAGGCTATGCTTAGCAGTAGACATATTTTTACACATGGATAACCAAGCTAACACAGCCTGAGAACGCGAATGAACAAAAAAGCATTCAATATCTTCTTTTAAAACAGTCTCATCTAATGCAACACTTACATGATTGGCTGAAGATTTTGAGCACCTCTGTGGCAACATCTATTGAGAGAAAGGAAAGCAGCTATTATACAGCAGCACACATAACAATACCAAGTGGTAGTGTCAGAAGGTACGGAAAAGGTCTTTAAAGTATATCATAAAACAAACTCACTTGGTAAACACCACAAACATCACTACCAGCATTACTGGAATTACCACAGTGAAAACTGCTAGCACACCGATTCCTGCTATCAGGCCTTCTGTTTGTGACTTTGAAGCAGCAGTAGTAGGATTGTTGGAGGGGATTTCCGCAGAAGATGAAGAAGAGGAGGTGGGAACACACTCTGATCCTAGAATTGTTATATCGCAGAGTTTGTCGATATACACCGTGGTGTTACTTTCACCAAGAACAATGTGCGGATCTCTAGCGATCCAGTCAGTAATAAAGTTCAATATCTCAGGAAGACTCTTAGTGGCAGTTACTTGTATCGTTAGCAGAACAAAAGTCTTGGCTGGGTAGTCCGAGTAACACTGCAGGACTATCTCTTTGAGGTTTCTGGCAGAAAATTCACAGTTGCACAGATCCTCCACTCCATCACCGACTGAGCCTGCAAGTGCCTGCTTAACGTCTGCACCCTTACTCTGTGGTACCTTGAGGTTAAAGTTTTTGGAACCAAAAGAGGTTTTGGGTACATGTGTTTGGACTACAGGGTTCGGACTGAAATGTCGGAAGTGGGATCTGAATGCAATTGAAAGTATTAGAGAGTCGGTAGACTCTCTATATAGGGATGACACGGGTGAAATCTCACGTGATCCGCGTACAAAACGACTAAAAACTCGGTGAGAATCACTTCCTAGGCCTTCAAAACATACTAGCAATAGTCTACGGGCCCATATCTACCTATACATGTCCCCCAAAAGCTCATACGCACCTTCAGTCGTCCACGCGAGAATTCGCTCATACGCGATTTCACGATTTTCGTGTCATCATATTCTTCATCTTCTTCTTCTTCTTCTTCTTCTTCTTTAAACCCGCTATCTCCTTACCAGTACCAGTTCAAGCACTGATTTTTTCACTGAAGGTCTCCAATTTCGCCGGAGGTGTGCACGGACATCAAGCGATCGTTTCTTTCTTGCCGCTAGTCACTACGGTAGATCATGGAGCTCTTCCCTGGTCGACCTGAACAACGCCATTTGCTGCTTACTCAGCATCAGTGATCCGCGCGCATGCGCCAGGCAGGGGCGTTGTCCAATGTGCTTGCGAGCGTATTCTACCGGGCGAGTTGGCAGACCTGCAGAGGAACTGTCAGCCTCCAGTACCTTCTGTAAGTAAGGTGTGCACATTTCCAACTGGCTATCTTGCTGTTGATATGCACGAAGAGCAACTTGCCAGAGTCTGCGCGGTGTTACGCGAGCCTTGCGGGGCACTCAGTCAAATGGGCCTTCATTGTTTGTCCCCCCCAGGTTGTAGCCTGATTACCAAAGCCTGCCAATGAAACCACAACCATGTGCAATAATCTAATTACATCCTTGTTGAAGACAATACATGGTATCTAGCAGCCATTAGCTACTACTTTCAATTTGTCTATGGTAGCCTATCTACAACATAGCCATGAACATCAGAGTGACTGTAACAATAAATGCAGTGTTGCCAGAAGCTGTTAAAAATAGTGGAAACAAGTGGAAAAATCATTTCTTCAAAATGAAAGGGGGATATAGGGATGGCTTGAAGCACCAAAAAGGAAGAAACAAGGGGTCATTACACAGCAAAGTTGCACAAAGCTACATGACACCATCCCTATATCTTTGTTGTTATATATACGGCTCTGTAATAGAGGTTGTCTTGCATGTATACTTAGCTCAAGGGAAACTCTGCTTATAAACAATAAAACAAAGATATAGGGATGGTGTCATGTAGCTTTGTGCAACTTTGCTGTGTAATGACCCCTTGTTTCTTCCTTTTTGGTGCTTCAAGCCATCCCTATATCCCCCTTTCATTTTGAAGAAATGATTTTTCCACTTGTAATATTATGAAACGTTCAAATCTCAAATACATAATTAAGGAAAACCTGTGTCATCCCTTTATACTAAGTACTACCGTACTTAATGATACATGTACCTGTATCCACTGAACACAGTTTTCTGCTCCAAATAACTGCAGTTGAATGCGCTTGGATTGAAGTTCTATTGATAATGTCAATTTTAAATTACTAATAAGCATTGTGTCTCACCTTTAACCATTAAAGAAGTATCATTTGTGCCATTGACTAAAGGAACTCCAGTAAAGCTAGTGAGGACAGCTGTGCATTGGTAGGTCCCTGAGTCCCGTTCCTCCAGTGGGAGGAATTTCAGATTTGTAGTATAGACATAATTGCTGATTTGTGTGACAGGAGTGGCAGAAGTCCGTGAGTCCCAACTGTTGCTGATGTACTGTATGCCATCTTTAGACCAGCCAGCTGTGAGCCTTACCCGACCAACAACATTTGAGCTAACTGATATAATGCATGTAAGAGTTAGGTCATAGCTTGCAAAGTATTGGCTGTTTGATGGACTTTGCTGCAACTCTACCTCTGGCTCAGGATCTGCATAATTATAAATTTACAAGGATACGGTGTAAATTACAAAACCGCTCACAAGAGTAACATAAAACTCCGACGTCCTGGCTATGAGAACAGTCAGCAGTATGGATGTCATAGACACACTCCAATATACTGGACTCGACCCCTAGACATTGTACATTGTCCATATGAATTGGGCCCTCTCCTTCTCCATAGAAACTGCTTGTTATGCCTGCGCAAAATAATGAAGCCAGGCTTGACAATTACTATAATTATATGTAGCTAGTTTGTATGTGTTTTCATGGCAATCTGCAAACTGCTCTGTTAAACAACTTGAAGCAGATGCAGACACTATCTTATGGTGAAGTGTTCCTATAGAATCTAAGCAGTTGTTGGAGCTAGCTAGTTTTCTGTTCTGCCATAAGCTTCCATATTAATCACCGAGAGGGATATGCTGAATTGCAGTATTCCCTATTTATGGGTGCTTTGATGTTGTGTGGTAGCTAACTTTAAAATAATATTAGTAGCTACACATTGTGAGATTTAATTATATCACGTAGGAGGCCACAACACACTTTTTCTCTTCACTTCAACAATGACACCTAGCTGGTTAGACCTATGATGTTAATTACGCCTACGTTGCGGTTGAAGGTAGATAAGCTATCTACACTACCGTCAGTTTTGAGTGTCATACCAGAGGACAGGAGAAGCAGTTGTCCACACACAACTTCCGTGTCCTCTGTGCTCCAGTTATCATTACAGATGGTTCCCCAGACTCCTCCCTGGCACACCTCAGCCCTGCCTTCTCTTTCAGTCTCTCCTCCCACCAACCTTATCCCTCCATCAACACACTCCTCTACCCCCAGATCTATAAGCATGATAATGATCTATATTATCCTCCTAAGGAGTTATATATAACACTGTTTAAGCTAACCTTTTAGTTCCATTGCAGCTGGGTAGCCATAGCCCTGGGAGAATTAAAAACCATACACATAGACAGCTATCGGAATTTGGTTATTAACACTTCTGACAGTATGAAACCCAGTGGAGACTTGCTTATGGAGTGTATAGCCACACAACTCTTCTTCAGAGCAATAAAGTTGAATCCAATCTGAAGTGTAGGATACGCCGTCCAGTAATAAAACTTCACCGGGAGGGGCATCCTGCTGTAGTGCCACAATAGTTATGTCGCTGGTAAAGTTTTCATAGGCGTAGAAGTTGATTGTAGTGTTGGCAACGTACTGCCCAGTAGGTAATGTCATCATCATAAAGGGGTCACCGGTGCCATTATTAGCTGATGCACCGTATGCATACTGCATAACTAGGATTGGTTTGTCACTAATCATATAACAGTAGTTGTCACGCTCCATGTGAAATTGCTTGAATCCACCCACTTGTGCAATGTAGTTCTGATAGGCAAAAGAATGCTGGGAGTCTCCCAGAAAATAGCATGTAATAAAGACTGTGGTGGATTGTTTTGAGGAGACAACTCTATACCATTCTGGAGATGTTCGAGAGACAGAGTTAGACGGTACAAGGAAGAAAAATCTTCCCCACGTACTGGTTGGTGGGATTTGTTCATATAGGTGATCGCATGCCGCAACTCTTGCAGGGACATCAGCACATTGGTGACCAGCAAACACCGACAGTGGCTTGTTTGACACGATCCTGGACCCAGTGAGATCAAGGTAGCTCTCGATCTGGTAGGTGTTCAGTCAGTTGAGAGTCACAGTGTATGATTCTCCCGGGGAGACAAAATTCTGAGGGTTGCCTGGGGCTCTTAAATCATCAGGTATAATAACAAATTGTGTGGGAGTTATTGTTAACAAAGTATTGTCCAGTGTCCCCACTATGAGGATCAGCGAGGAAAGGGCAGTCTCACTCCTATTTGTCCACAGCATGGAGCTTGCTATATAGGTGTACTCTTCTGCAACTGGGCCAGATGGTAGAGCCAGGAAAGCATCCGCTGTATGCTGCTCATAGGTCATTCCACTAACACTAATAGTTTTGCTTGAGTCAGCGGCTCTCACACGTATCCCTTTGCTTCTCTGGGTCACATCTGAGCCAGTAACCGTCAGGGATGGGTCCACGTTGATTGAGATGTGAGATGACGGGGAGACGGTGCCAGTTACGTAGTATGATCCGTAAGGAGACGACACTTCGTAGCTCACGGGAGCACTTTCGGTAGTGGTGATAGTGAGCGTAAGGATGTTATTGTGGTCCACATCATAATTCTTGCTAAACGCCAAGAAATATTCAGGAGCGCCTCCTTTGTAAGCTATGGTTTAAAACTTTAGCTATTATAAAAACATAATTATGAACCTACCGTTCACTTGGACTCCTTCCAGGTGTAGAAATACAACGAAGGCGACGAGAGGAAACATTTTCCGTTCGCTAACTAAGCTCGCAGTTAGCAACTGTACTTACGGAGGCAGCATGACGCTGACACAGTGGGGGAGTGACTGTACACCCGGTCGTGCAGCAATAACTGAGGCATCGCCTATAATATGACTTTGACTGGATATCACCGCTACAGGTTGGACAAGGGGGAAGCCATGTATGTTGTACGCGCCGCTCCCTGCGCAGTCTTGGTTTCTCTCTCACATTCAGATAGAATGAATGGAGGAAACGCACAATGGCTTATAATCCAAGAAGAGTATCAATACTCACTGGCTTTTCAGCCGTGATATCGAAAATAACATCGACGTCCACTCACCTGTAAATGCCAGGTTAGGAGAATTGAGTTGATACATGTTGGCTGCAAACCCGATTGCCATGTGCACGCGTCGGCGGGAGGCCCTTCGGAAACAGCAGAAACGCGCCTTTCTCGAGGCAAGGGAGCGACGAATACTACGACACCGAGTTCTCACGCAGTTAGCAAAAAATACACACACAGAGCAAATGTAGCTATGCATATTAGCTACATTATGGGTTAGGGGATTGATGTCGCCTACCGTTTTTCTTTGCCTTGGTGATTGATCTTCTCTTAATGAAAAAGATAAAGGCAAGTAGAACGGCTATAAACAAGCCCATCAGTGTTAGACCAAGGACAGCAGAAAGTCCTGTTACTGTCGATGTGCCTACAAAAAGCATTAATAATTGTCTCACACTTGAATGCTGGTGTAGAGCCTGCAATTTAATTGCTTGACAGTATTGTCAGTTTCAGAGGCTAATGATAGAGTGATATCAGGTAGCTCCAGTGTATTGCAGCCCTCGGATCCATCCATTAGTATCACTGATTCCAGTACATGATGTGGTCCTGATTGTGATACCTTGAAACACTTCACCAATGCTATGTCATAAGTTCAGTGACGAGGTATAGATCGAGAAGTTGAATGTAATCTGATCACCGAACCGTGTTATGGCAAATTCTTTAGCATTGGAGCCATTTGTGAATACACAAATGGCACATATCCCTCCACTCACTGGTTTAACATTGGAATAAATCAGAGAGAATCCTGCAAGGAAAATTGTAAGACAAGCATAATATTATAGTTGTGCTACTACGGTAATGAAAAGCACTAAAGTGCAAACCCTCGGCGCAAAACGCGGTGCGTTGTACCGTTGCTGTATGCTGGGCCATGCGTCGTCGACGGAGCCAGTAATACGAGTCGACGGAGCCAGTATTACGAGTCTCACCGTAACACAGGCAAGTTGCATCAGAGGGTAAGCTTAGCGGTTAGAGCAATTGCTCAGGTGTTACAGAGGCTCTCACATTTCCTTTATTCAATGTATCAGTGCTCTTCTGTGTTTCAATGCTTGCGACATACTGCCAGACTGTGATTTTAACGTTTAGATGGAAGGCATGGCCGCATCCACAAACTGCTCCTCTCACGTGAACTGTTATGCTACATTGCGGACATACCTTTCTCAGCTTCTTATCCATTGGGAACAAAGAGAACAGTGACAGAGGAGAGACGCTCAAGAAAAATGCTTCCCAGCCGTCGGAACAACGTGGCGTATGAGCATGCTCCTGACATGACGCGTGCGCGCCAGAGTAGCCTTAATAATGGCATACTTTCTCTTATCCATACTGTAATGTTGTTCACTTCAGTGCAAACATGTTTCTGGACAATCTCATGGACACTGACACTGTACTCCCCTGCTTTTGGAACTGAGAAACATTCCAGTAGTGAAAGATTGTTATTGCTTCGGGTGGCACCGAAAACAAAAACCTGTTTGTCATTTTCCATTGTGACTGCACAACCATCAGCAGTGGAATCAACAGAAAAAGTAAAGGAAAAACATATTACTGGTTTTGACAGCTCACTCATAACTTTGACGGCTGCTTTAATCACATTCGGGAATGTCGGAACTATGTGATTTTATGGATAATGTTACGCTCTACATGATTAGTTAATGTCAACTGTCTCACATTTCCTGGTAGCATTTCCCTCTCCCACTTCATTCCATGCACTGATCTGGTATATGCATGGTGCTGGCACATTGTCTCTCCAGAGAGATGTTATTAGATTATGATATTACTACAGTCATACCACTGGCATACCTTCTGTAATCGAAACTGTTACGTTCACTTGAGTACAAACATGTTCCTGCACAACACCGTAGTGTATCTCATGGACACTGACACTGTACTCCCCTCCTTCTGGAACTGAGAAACATTCCAGTAGTACAAGGTTGTCATCATTGTTGTTGCTTCGGGTGGCATTGAAAAGAAAAACATGTTTGTCATTTTCCATCTTGACGGTGCAACCATCAGCAGTAGAATCAGAGAAGAAAGAACAGGAAAGACATATTCCTAGTTTTAGCAGCTCACTAATAACTTTGACAGATGCTTCAATGAGTGTCAAGAACGCTGGAAGAATGAAATAACACATGGTATCCAATTTTTATTGCTATGTCAACCACTAAGTGTGTCACCTTTTCTGGTAGCATTTCCCTCTCCCACTTCATTCCATGCACTGATCTGGTAGGTGGTGCTGGCACATGGTCTCTCCAGAGTGATGTGTGTTTCAGTGGTGTTTCTCTGTTCTGAGACTCCCTGACTGGTGATATAGACACTGTAGTGGAGTATGGGGACTCCTTCCAGGGTGAATGGAGGACTCCATGATACATTAATGCTATTAACTCCGACTGCTTGAACAAAAATGTCAGAGGGAGCTTGTAGCAGACCTATAATAAGATGTACTACACATTATTAACCCTTAGCAAGCAACAGAGCCTCCATAAGTGCATAAGATTTTATGGCTATATGTAATACTAAGCGTTTAATGTTATACATTAATTTCTGCTTATTTAAGGAGATACATATGGTGTGCAAAGTGTTAAAGACGTAAGGTAGTTCTAAAATAATTCACCTTGTATTCTGAGGGTTGTGGTATTAGTAGTGTTGGAAGTGTTAAAACACTCAGGAAAACGCACCATTCCTGTGATTTGAGGTCCATTGTACCTCAGATCAGTTGGAGTTATTGTCAGTCTGAGATCACACACAATAAGTGGATGGCAAAACCCTCCAAATGATAGTCCTCTCTCTGTAATACTCTCACGTCTTCTGCTGCGATAGTGACTATAGTTGGCTACAGTGTACACTTCATAATCGCCATTAGGTTTGACAATCTCCCTAAGAATGTTTCTTGACAGTCATAAAATATCTATAATATAATAATATTTCCATATAGAGAGTAGTTGAACCGTTGAGTGACAGGAGGACGTATATAATATGTACCTCATGGCCACAAACTTCGTGTGAAGATTCCCTCTAAAGTGGCTGTTCAGTCTCTTCCCAGTGATGACCCTCCAGTTTTCAATGCTTTGACTGCTTCTCCTCAAGGAAATCAACCTCAATCAAGTGCAGCCACTTCCCACTACAGGGACTGTCCTTCTCCTCATGCCTCTCCTGCTTCTTTTTATACTTCCACTCCTGACCGCTCTCCCCTCACCTGCTGTGTTATCCTCTGCTTACTCATCTTGGCTCCACTTCGCTGTATTTCATATAATATTGTAGAGGATGGAATAGTGGTATGATTACATAATATTGATTCATTTGATGGATGTTTTGTACAAGAGCATTGGTTACTCAGTAGTCATCTTCATAAAATCAGTGAGATCTCCAAGGATTTTGTGTATATTGGTGTCAGTTGTATGGATGATTCGTTTTTGTTGGCTGAGCCTGGTAGGCCGTTTGGTGGCTGTGCTATTCCGTATAGAAAATCATTAGCATGTGTCACCCCTTTACATTCTCACTCTAATAGATTTTGTGCTGTGAAATTATGTGATTTGTCGGGATCAGTTTTATTGATTTGTGTGTATAATTATGCCTTCTGATAATACTCCTACTTCTTTTGTAAATTATTTGAATACTCTTGAAGGCTATTGATTCGCAACAGTGTGATTGTAATGTCATTGCTGGTGATTTCAATGTTGGTTTTGGTCCTGGAGGTCCTTTAACCAGTTTGTTGTGTGGTTTTGTTTCTGATAGGGATTCTGTTGTCTGTGATTTGTCTTTTGTGAGTCCGTTAAGTTTAGTTGCGAAAGGGATGATGGTCGTGGATTGACCACAATAAGTGTTTTAGATATTTCTCATCAGTTATCACAGATGTCTACTCTTTTAAACTGCGGCACTATCTTAATTAAATCTTTTTTATTATATCTTAAAATTTTTTATTTTCTTTAATTCTTATTTTCTTATAATTTTTCCTTATTTTTCTTATTTTATTTATATTTCTTTTATTTTTTCTATCTTATTTTATTTCTATTATATTTTTTTTTATTTATTAAATTGTCTATAATATAATATCTTAATTTCTATCTTATTTATTTCTAATTTTTTTTATTTTTTTTTTTTTTATTGCTAATGTTTTTATCTTATTTTTTATATTATTTTTAAAATATAATTAGAGGAAAAAGAAATAAAATTTTATTTTTTATTTCTTATCTTCTATTTTATTCTTATGTTTTATCTAATATTATTCTTAGTTAAAAAAATTTTTATTTTTAAGATTTTATTCTTAATTTTTTTTCTTATTTTTTTTTTTATTCTTATTTAATTTTTAATCATTCATATTTTTTCTATAAAAATTTTATTAAACCTTAATATTTTTTTATTTTTTTTATATCATATTATCTTTTTTTCTTATTTCTGCTTTTTTTTCTTAATTTTATTTTCTTATTTATCATTTTCTTATTTAATTTCTTCTTAATTTTTTTAAGTTCTTATAGATCTTAATTTTCTTAAATATCAATCTTATCTTTTCTTATTTCCTTATATTAACATATTATTTTTAAATTTTTTTTATTATTATTTTTAATTTTTTATTTTAATCTCGTAACTTAATCTTTTCTTAATAAAATTTTACTTATATTTTTAGTTATTTTATTTAGTTTATTGTTTTTTTTTTTTTTGATATTATCTTATTTTTTATATTCTCTAATTTTATAAATTTATTTATTTTAATTCTTCTTTATTTTATTCTTATTTTTTTGTTGCTTTTTTGTCTTTTCCCTCCACTTTATCTCTATTCTTTTCTATTTCTTATTTGCCTCTACTCTTCTTCTCCTTCCCTTTTTTCTCTTCTCTCTTCGTTTGTTGTGTGGTTTTGTTTCTGATAGGATTCTGTTGTCAGTGATTTGTCTTTTGTGAGTCCGTTAAGTTTAGTTGCGAAAGGGATGATGGTCGTGGATTGACCACAATAAGTGTTTTAGATATTTCTCATCAGTTATCACAGATGTCTACTCTTTAAACTGCGGCACTATCTTATCCGATCATCTCCCGCTGTGTATCTGGTCTTTGTTGTCCATTGATTGGTCTACAAACAACCAGGATATGCTTTCTTTGAGACTGTCTGGTCTACCTGACGAAGTGTAATGTTGCTCTCGTCTTGATTGCTCTATCCATTGCAGCATGCTTGACTCCTATGCTGACCAGGTCATGAACATCTTACTTGTCTGTGCTCTCCAATGTCTACCTATCCACCGAGGGTTGTCGGATGGAATGATGCTGCAGGGAAATCGAGAAAAGCCTCGATAATTTGGCACAGAGTATGGGAAGAAGCAGGTTGTCCAACTTCAGGGTTTTATCCACCATAAAGAGACATGTCAAGAAGAGATACAAGTATGAGATTCGGCGACTCAAACGCAGAAAACATTTTCTTCTGCGGGATCTACTAGCACGTTCGTTTGGAATGAAAGAGAAGGCCTTTTTCTGGTCCAACATTGGTAGGCTTCATAATAAAGGAGCTACTAAACACTCTCCAGTGGTTGATGGGGTTAGTGGAACCAAAACTATTGCTAACATATTTGCCTCTAAGTTTAGTTCCCTGCTAAACAAGCACTCCTCTTCTCCTCGTAACTCGCTTCTGGCTCCAATTCATTCATCACTGACTGAGTCAGATATTTCTTCAGTAACTATCTCTGAAGATGACATTCTCTTTTGCTATCTCTCAATTGAAATTGCACAAGTCTGATGCATCTGATATTGCAAATGAACATTTAAAGTTTGCCTCGCCAGTTATCTACAACCATCTCTCTCTCCTCTTCACCTCTATTCTCTGTCATGCTTATATGCCACAGAGTTTTTGTGACTCAGTTCTTATACACGTTCCTAAAAGTACCAGAGATGCTTCTGACAGCTCAAACTAGCTACCGCTCTATTGCTCTTTCTTTAGCATTGAAAGATCAATGCTCTCAAATTACGAGTCTTTCCTCTCTACCAGTGCCTTTTTGCTTTAACCCTGGGTATTCTACATCTCTGTGCACTGCAACTGTAAAAAAAGTGATATCAAGGTATATTCACAATGGCTCTCCCATATTAGGTTGCCTCCTTCATGTTAGCAAAGCATTCGATTTGGTTGATCACGGTATCCTTCTTCAAAAACTTCTTGACCGAGGGTTGTCGTTAGCCATAACTCAGTTCTTGATATCTTGGTATGGTACCCAAAAGATGAGGGTGCGTTGGGATTGTTGTTTTTCCGAACCATTGTCTGTTTGTAATGGTGTTCGTCAGGGTAGTGTTCTTTCTCCTCTTTTCTTTGCAGTTTAATTGGATGGGTTGTTGAGTAACTCTGGTGTTGGTTGTTATTGGGGTTGTATGCTTGTTGGTGCTGTTGATTATGTGATAATATTGGCTCCTTGTGCCTCTGCTATGGAGTTGTTTGGTAGCAGTGAGTGGTTTGGGTCTCGGAACATGCTGTTTGTAGGTGACCTCCTCCAACTCCCACCTGTCCATGGAAATCCTGTTTTTGAGAAGGTTGCCACTAATCAATCCTGTCCCAACTAGGGTGTGCAGCTGCCATCAATATTTGGAGAGATTGTGTTACGTATGATGAGTTGACTATCAATGAACGTCAGAAAAGTGATCCACCGTTTTCCTCCATGTTGGACTGTGTGAGACGTGGTTTTCCAACCAAGGAAACTGTGAGTGTGTTGAAACAGAGGGTCATACAGGTGTCTGTTTCAGACAAGTTTTCTGAGCTAAAACAGTCTGGCAAGGCACCTGTTTGCTTATTTCCCAAGAGGAAAGGGTATGATGACCTAAATGCACAAGTGCTCCGCAAGAATGCTTCCGAAGTGCATGACATTTATTGTACTGATGAGATTGACGAAACAGCAGGCAATAGGAAGATGACCAAGAAGGTCATTGAGCATTTGGATAAACTGAACGCTGACTGCAACATGACAGCTGGGTTGGAAACCAAACTGTCTCTTGCAGTCGGTGCACGAGTTATGCTACGTCGCAACATTGACACCAAGGCTGGGCTGGTCAATGGTGATATTGGTACAGTGCTGTTAATAGCAGCCCAGCATGTGACAGTGCAGTTTGATAATGTACCTGCTCCATGTAAGATTGATAAGGTCAGAAGCAGGTTCATGGTGATGAAGAATTTCTATGTCAATTCCCTCTCATTTTAGCCTATGCAATTACCATCCTCAAGTGTTAGAAAAAGAAAATTCTTGAAGATCTATATAGCCAATTGTCCGCACCTTGCTGGCGTGCTATATAGTCACCGTTTCAACGGTGTCGGTCGCTACCGTAATGTTGTACGTCATTCTAAAAACGCGCATAAATCAACTGCTCTCGCTCGCTCGCTCGCCAAAGAATTTCGCATCATCCTGTAACTGCAGGCTCGGAACAAATTTCATGTGATCAAAACCTCAAAACTCGGTTGAGAATCAGAAGCCTTCAAAACCCGTCTAGCAATGAAAAGCACTAATGTGCAAACCATCGACGAACTGCGCATGCGCGGTACCGCTAATTGATGGGCTGGGCCATTTGTAGAATGCTACTCGCGGTCTCCCGCTATTAGACTCTGACACGGGCTATGTAGCTACTGTACAGTAGTAGATAGCATGCGGGAGTCGATACACGCCCTTCGTTGAGACTTCTTGAGCCTCCAAGGTACACAGAGAGAGCTTGCCCGGGCACCTCTTGCAAGTGGGAAGGTCCACTCGTGGGTCCACTAGACGACGTTCTTACTTACAGCTCACAGACTATTACAACACTTGGCGGAGAAGACATTGTGTTCTTGGCAGGAGATAGCTATTCACCTGCCCGGGGCCGTCGACTGGGTGATGATGCAATGGTGTTTCGACCACTACTTCATGTTGGTTCTGGAGAAACCAGGAGAGACACGAGGGACATCAGCAGTTCTTCGCAGTCGTTCAGTTGATAGGGACGGAGAAAGAGGCCAACGCTTTCAGTTGTGTTGGCTTTAGTGTAGAGGTTGCAATTGAATATTACTTTCTCTTTATCTTTTCTCTCTTTATTTGCACCCTTTCTTCCTCTGTTGTTTTCTTAACTCACTAGATACAAGTTGGAGCTGGTGGGTCATGGTAGAAAGTTAACATGGGAAGCAAAGCCTCAAAGGTACAGGCATACATGTACGTACATACACTAACTATCTTTCAGTCCCTTACACGTAAATTTACACCTACCATTTTGTTTTACCTCCTTTTTCCTCTCTACTTCGCTACCCCTCCTCTTGTATCGGTATTCATTGCAATATACAGTGGAACCTCCGAACAACGGACACCATAAGACCAATGATTTGTCACTTGTAGAGAGGTCGTCCCTATCTCGGAGGTCAAATAATACACTAGAGTATTAGCATGGGGTTGAAACAAGTGTACTTTGTAGAGAGGTCGTCCCTATCTCGGAGTGTCCCTTATCAGAGGTTCCACTATATAAAGCATCATTTGCTCCACGACATACCCCTCTCTTTCCTTTCTCAGCATCCACTGCAGTATATCAAGTGTCATTTGCAGCAACGACTGCCTAATATTTGAGACTGCAGTGGCTTCACATTTCGGAGACAATTGAAACCTTGCTATGACGTCACAATCTACAAGACATCGTAATACTGACACACCTCATATCTGTAGTCATAGTAACTTATGCGCCATGCTTGTAGTATGTGTATTATATGCAGTTGCACTATGCCTTTGTACTATAGTTGTGTAAAGCGAGGTAGTGTTTAAACTTATGCGCATGCGTACCCGATGTTCACAAGGGGAGGGGGACCAGGGGGGCGTGGCACGTAAGGTAAACAAACTGCAAGAACCGATCAGCTTTTCTCTCCACAGATGGCGGAAGGTTGGTATTTTTGGAGGGTGAATAAGAAAAAGTGATAATATAGTTGCTCGCGCAGGCCCAGCGGTCAACGAGACGCTAACTCCAGACGATGCCGCGGACGTGTTGGAGGAGCTACTGCCAACACAGAACAAGTCATACGAGCTGGGGCTAAAGTTGAAACTGCCACATCACGTTGTGGAGGCCGTTCACAAGGAATTACCGTCCGACAAGTGTCTGCTTCAAATCCTGATCAAGTTCCTGCAGCAGGCGGAGCCCAGACCTACGTGGAGAGTCATCGTAGATGCTCTCAAGAGTCCTGTAGTCGGTCTAACGGCTCTGGCTAGGAGAGTGGAAGCATCTCATTTCCCTGACTCTACCGCAACACATGACGTGGTACCTGAGACGACTACTGGTAAGTCACTATCAGCTCCACTCATACTAGTTCTCTGACTGGTTTAGCTAGTAATGTCTCTACATCTCATACACCACAGAGTCTGCAGCCAACACTACTGCTGGTGATGATGATGTCAAATCAAAGCCATCTTCTCAACTGAACCCTGCTGATAGTGAGAGTAAACTGTACCTTGGGTTGTAGTTATCTCTGTCACTCTTCTAATAGTTACGGCAGTGGAGACTGAAATCAAAGGGCTTAGTGACAGGTTCAACGCTCTAAAATACCTTGCAATCCAAGGCCTACAGAAGATTGGTGTTACCGTCCAAATGGTTGTCTATATTCTCACAAACATTTGCACATACGGCGATCAATTATTTTTAAAAGAAAATCACAAGGCTCTTCGACAGTGCGAAGACCATCTTGAGCTGTTTGGATCTCTCAACTTCTACTGGAACTATCTCGCACCTGATCTGCTCGACCACCTGATCGGAGAACTGACTAAGAAGGGACATGAGGAATTCAACACGACTGCTAGTGAGATGACCGCCTACAAAAAGGATCTGGAAGAGTTTAAAAAACATACGACATTGGTTCTGTTGTGTGAGGCTGACCCTCGGCCGCTCGATGAAGATCCTCCACCTGGCTTCAGGAAGATGGTAGTCAAGTTTGAATGGCCCCGAACTGCAACACTGGAGGACGTGGAGAAGTTCAGGAGACGATACGCCAGCAACTACGACCTTCAGACATGTGCCATGATGTTGAACAGCATTGGGACTGGATGTTTCACTGTCACTTGGTTCGTACCTGTCTCAGTGGTGGAGATGTTGAGGAAAAAGAGAGCGTTGGCTGTCTTCAAGGAGTTCAGTGTCACTAGACTAGACATCCACACATCAACACAGATTTGTGTCTACCAAGTCCCCCCTCAGAGACCAGTAAGTAGGCTGTCATTGAGCCTGGTTCACGTAGACAACTGAAAAGATTTTTTCAGTCCCTGCAATTTTGCTTCACACATCGCGAAAGGCCGAATGATTTGCGTCGCATTGCATTGCGTCGTGTGGTCTTACGATGCATTATGAACCATACATCAGTCTTTTCTCTATGCAGGTGGCTCCATCCTCAACCAGTGACAGCTCGGCAAATGCTAAGTTGTCTAATGCTGCCAACAAAAGGTAGTAAAACATTTTGGTCCATCTTTGGTAAAGATTTAAAATACACTCTTTTAGCAAGGAGCCACGCCAAGTGTCATCAGTGGATGAGGACTATCCTTTTGTTGAGCAGCCATCTGATGACTTGTTCTGTCCAGTGACAACTGGTCTTCTGCTCCATCCTCACCTCACATCATGCTGTGGTAATCATCTCTCAGAGGAAGCTGCTGCCAGGATAAGAGGAGATAGAGGGGCATGCCCACTTTGCAAGGAGGAGGATTGGAGCACGTTGTTGAATAAAAGCTTACAGCGTCAAGTGAAGTCACTGCGTGTGTTCTGTCGCCATGAAGACAGAGGGTGTGGCTGGCAGGGAGAGCTGGCTGCCTTTCACCCTCACGTGAGCTATTGTCCAATGGGAGACGGTCCTCCCATGACTGAGCTAGTGAAACTGCCAGTGTAAGTGAATTATAGGCTCTTCTGGAGGTTTGGATTATGCCATAATTCTCTACAGATGCAGAGAGGCTGGAGCCGTCCCTAGTTTGTCTGGAGCCATTTCTCCCCACTCTTCTGCCTCTGGAACTATTGTACGAGTGAACGAGGTAATTTCTACAGCCAGTCCATTTTCAGGTCCCAGGTTTTAGTTGAGAATGGCACGAAGGTTATTGTGTGTCTATCCATGCACCACCCGTGCTGCATAGCATGCACTAGCAATATATAAGGTGTAAAGTGGGTGTGAAATGAGTTGCTGTGCTTGTCTTTGGAATAAAGCTAGTATCGACGGATGAGATTCTGCAATGTTTTAGGATCATCCTAACCTATACAAGTGGTAAAAATTATTTCACTTCCAGAAAGCTGAGAGAGACTCTGAGACTCAGAGAACAAAGGTAAACAATTCTTTATTCGTTGGCTATGAATCATATCAGTGAATATTGCTCTGTGTTTCCACCCTCTTCAGCCTGCTCACCTAGCAACAGCTGTACCCCATGCCATACCACCTGTAGTTAAACCTCGAAAGGTAGGCAACATTGATAACTGTTGTGGTAGAGTATCATGAGTCCTTTAGAAATTTACTGATTGTGTTGGTGTCTGGTTGTATGGCGTATTCATACACTATACACTATGGGATACCAGTGCACATACATACACTATGAATAAACAATATCATGTGATGCCTATGGGAGAGTATGAATACCAGTGCACAACTTGGCACATGACACAAAATGGTTCCAGTGGTGTTCTCTGCCTTCTACAATAGACACACAACCATAATTATTAGAAAGTGGGTGTGGCCCATGCGTCGCAAAGGTCTGTGAATACATGCTCTAAACTGGCTACTACGTTTGCATATGTAGCACCCGTTCTATAATATGTTTAACCTCAGCGCTCATGCGCAGCGAGGGTTACGGTATTTGGTGTGTGTGTGTGTGTGTGTGTGTGTGTGTGTCTGTCTGTCAGCAGCTATACTACAGCCTATTTTAGCCCTAGGGCCTAGCTTTTTAGCTCTAGAAGATTGGGCATATAAGCGATACCAACGGCTGCATAAAAATACGCGAGCCTGACGAAAAATGCTGAAACGATTGCGTTCGAGAGCGAGAAACTGACACGGTCGCGGTCGCGGACCGAGTTGCGTGGCCCAAAAATCGATTAGCTTACCTCCCTCTGATGGGCTTACCTCCCTCCGAAACCACCCGTCACCTGTTCCAACGGTGGGCTATTTGCCTCTGGAGAGGAAATGCAACTCTGTGGCTTCACCGTTGCCCAATGCCTCCCCCGCACATTGACAGTATTATTTAGCGTTTTTTTTTTGTTGTTGTTTTTTGTAATTTGTCTATTTGTTCTTTGTTTTTGCTTTTTTTTTGTCTATTGTATCGTTTACTTATCATAATATATTAGCTGTGCGCATGCGTAACGCGTGGCACTGTTGTCGCTCTGTGTATCCTGAAGGCACAAGAAGTCACAACTAAGGGCATGTATCGCCTACCGCATTCTATCTACTACTGTAGCTAGCCGTGACAGACTCTCCGCGAGCTACGTAGTAGCGGGAAAAACGCATACTGATAGCCCAGCCCATCAATTAGCTGTATGGCGCATGCGCAGTTCGCCGAGGGTTTGCACTACTTTCGTGGTCATTAACCCTCAGCACGCATGCATGAGGGTTACAGTCCGGTCCGTCTGTTACCACGTTTTCTGCCACCATGCGCAACAAACAGGTAAATTCGTAAAAGCGCCGCGTTCAGAAGTTATGGCGTGAAAATCAAGTGAACAAGCCTGGCTTACCTCGACCTCATCCGCTTGCTCTGTGTACCTCGGAGGCACAGAAGCCACAACGAAGGGCGTGTATCGACTCCCGCATTACTGTAGCTAGCCCGTGTCACACTCTCCGCGAGCTACTAACTAGCGGGAGATCGCTAAACCATCTATTAGCGGTACCGCGCATGCGCAGTTCGCAGAGGATTAGCACTTTATGCTTTTCATATTTACAGGTAAACAGGTCTGAAAATGATATTGAACAGGATATTGAACCTCTGGACATTCCGGGAGTCGAGTTGGAAGAGACTGAGGTAAGGCATAAACAGAGCTGCCAATCTGTTACAGGCAAAACCGTCAGTATATACAAACCTCAAGTAAAATGTTAGTGCGCATGCGCGTATCAATGCTGAACTCGGTCCGGTACGAGCCACGAGCAACGATAGGTAGGAGGTAGAGCTATCTCTCCATGTTTTCACGCCATCCTGCTGCTATAGAAAGCTGCAAAGAAGTTATGATTCACGCTACTCGCGGCTCTCCGTAATAATCGGTTCCATTCCGTACTAGCTATATACCATACAATACGAAAATTCTGTATGGTTGGCAGCACTGCATAAAGATTATTTTGTGACTGCTGCTGTTCTTTTATGCTCGTACTATTAAATCAGTGGTGTAAGGAATGTTTCCATCCTTTTTGGCAGGCTTGATCGAAAAAAAATGAAAGCGGGGTATCGCAAATTTGTGTGTATGTAGCTATGTGTGCGCACCTTGGCACAATTTTCAAGTTATATACAACATGAGTAAAATATAGCTACCGGATGAGCTGAAGCAGTTAAAATGGAGCGCAGTAAAATAGCTCTGAGGGCAAGCAAACACACAGTGTATATAAAAGACGCCAAACATCAGGGACCCTACTCACTGCATGAACCTTAAACTTGCATTTTTCAGGATCTCGCTCTCAAGCTTTCCCAGTAATATCTCTCTCCCTCCCCCTTTTCGTATCTTCCTCTATTTACTAAGTATCTCAAACCAATCAGTGCCAGTTGCAAACCTGCTGCTGCTACTTTCGCCCTAATGATTGATTTATTTGACCTTCTATTTTAGCGAAGCCATTTTTCCATAAGGAGGGAAGAAGTTGAGGTTGAAAAACGAAGCGGGGTTGGTGGTCTGTCTGTTGATGACAATTATATGTACTATTCCTTCACTGAAAATGAAGATAAAAAGTTTCTGCGCAAATGTGAACATAATGGGAATTTTGTTTGCGATGTATCCCTACCGAAATTTGTTCGTGGAATTGGAAAGGATAATTACGGTTTTCTATACGTTCTATGTTCCAGTACCTATTCAAAAGTGTTTAAATTTGATGAAAAACTGAATCCAGTCCGAAAAACAAATAAGAACTGTACAGAACATTTTGGTGTGGCATATGGAATTTTGGTGACTGATGAACATGTTTTCGTTTGTGCACGGGTTAGCCAAAAGGTATGCATTTTGGACTTGGACTTGAATCTTCAGTATTGCTTGAAATTAAATGTTAGCCCCATTGGAATTACGAAGCTTAGTGACACGTATTTCGTTACCGCTATAGCTGCTATTGGAATCCTGGATTTAGATATTGACAATATGAAATTTAGAGTGAAAATATGCGAAGAAATGAAGACTGGTCTTACTACAGAACGGTTCAAACCTGAAATCACACTCAAAGGAATATGTTCTGATAAGCAATACTTATATGTGACAGAGAGAGATCATTCAAATGGAGGTCGCATATTGTGTCTGCATTATCAAGAAAACCAGTTAATCCTCAAGTATTTCTATCAAAATTCTTGTCAGCATTGCATGCCAAACTGCTGCCCGATTGTAATTGCCCACCATAATGACGCAATAATTTATAGTCAAGGAGGTTGGGAACGCAAATTTCACATTCGAAGATTAGCATATGATGGAAAGACAGCTACAAGTGAGCCAATTATTGACGTAGTCTAAGTTGTGTTAAGTTGTGTCAAACACCGCTCTTAGCTAATAGTTCTATTTTTTCTCTTGACCAATTGTACAAAAGCAAAATTACATATATAGCTCAGATGCTAATAGTAGAACGAATGGCGCGCATTTTGGTGAGCGAGCGTGAAAAAAGTAAAATATTTCACACACATTAAATTATGTGTTCTTACTTTACTCATCCCCCACTGTACAGAAACCAAATTACAATAATGAAGAATAAGATTCCTTGACTGGCAAAACAGGCAACATCCCCAGTCACACTCATATACGCACACATGGAGAATTGCTTATGCATTTCTAGCAACAACATCATAACAGCCTCCCTTAAGCCCATAATTCGTGAAAAATGGAGTAAAAACGGAACTAGGACATAGTCTGAGTGTCACGCAGAAGAGCAACACCCATGCAGAATCAACTTCGAATCGTAACACACAACTTACTGAGAAGAGTGCTGCTCTGTTCGACCTCTCAAAATTATGTGGCCAAGATACTGACTCAGCATAGTGGGACAGTATGCAGCAGCTTGCCTTTACCAGAGGGGGAAAGTTTCGTAGGGAAAATGAGTCACTAGTCAATGTGTAATGGCCCAAACAGAAAACAATTGGAGCACTTAAGGTTGGAAGATATGCCACAACAGAGAGAGAGAGAGAGAACTCACGGCTCCATAGAAGATGGTATCAATGAAGAGCTCAAGAAGGGTCTCTGGAAGTGGATGTCCATGCATCCACCTTTTCATCATCTTGTGAGCCAGCGACCCACACGAGTACATCTGATACACAAAACAGTATTATGTCACCCAACACTCAGTAATCTCACCAGAAACACATGGGAGAAATCTGGCATATATGGTTCATAATACTGCTTACCCCTGAGTATATAGCCCGCCCACAAATGTTTTTTACAGAGTGAGTGTGAAGTAGAGGAGAGATGGAGAGGTCAGACCTGTTGGTCGGTGTGGGTGGGATCATCGTGTGTGATGTCATTCAGTCTCTAGACCACTCGAAACACTGCAGGTCTTGAGTCCAGTCCAGGCTGTCTGGGAGAACACTGGAGCTAGCTACCATGTTGGCTCCCACACAATCAATAATAATGTGTTACAAACTTACATAATGCAAAAACGGCACACGGGTTAAGAGCAGCAGGGGAAATTTTGTTGGCAGCTGGGAATATATACATGGGTGCTTACTATAGTTGGCTCTCACACATGAGATGTGTATGAAAAATTCCCACAGCATAATTATAGTCAAACATGTTGTAAAAGCAGCATACGCGCATTGTCGGGAAACAGGGTAAAACACTGGATAGCTATTCCTCTAACTCTTACACCTACACCCTACTGCCATAATAGTAAAAAGCACTAAAGTGCAAACCCTCGGCGAACTGCGCATGTGCGGTACCAGTAATTGATGGGCTGGGCTTTTTATGCCTTTACTCGTGGTATCCCGCTAGTAGCTCGCGGAGAGTCTGGCACGGGCTAGCTACAGTAGTAAATAGCATGCGGGAGTCGATACATGCCCTTCGTTGTGACTTGTTGTGCCTTCAAGACACACAGAGCGAACGGACGCGGTCGAGGTAAGCCTGTGCTAATTTACATATTGGCTTGTTCACTTGGTTTTCACGCCATAACTTTAAAACACAGTAGTTTTACGAAAATCGCCTTTTTAAAATCAACCCAGTGTAGCACTGAACCCGATCATATCGCTATTTACCTGATTTCGTGCGCGCGGTGGCAGAAAACGTGGTAACAGACAGACAGACAGACAGACAGACACACTTACGGGACAACTACCGTAACCCTCGCTGCGCATGCGCGCCGAGGGTTAATTATTATAGCTATTATGGTCATATAACATTCAAGTTCCTAAATGTGTATGTACATTCCGTGTGATGTAAAGCGCTGGCAGATTATAGAACCTTGTACCTGGAGTGAATGAGAGGCTGGGATGGTAGCCAGAGGTATTCTCTCTCTCAGTACTGTCATCACCTTATCCTCCACCTCACTCCCTGTATTACATCCACAACTGTGAACGCGCCCGTACGCATGTCCTTCCCCGGGCACCTCTTGTAAGTCCACTTGATGACGTTCTTAATCTTACTCACCGCTCACAAAACTATTACAACACTTGGAGGGGAAGACACTGTGTTCTTGGCGACAGGTATACACCTGCCCGGGGCCGTCGACTGGGTGATGATGCAATGCTGTTTCGACCACTACTTCATGTTGGTTCTGGAGAAACAGGAGAGACACGAAGGACATCAGCAGTTCTTCGCAGTCGTTCAGTTGATAGGGACAGAGAAAGAGGCCAACGCTTTCAGGTGTGTTTGTGTGTTATAGGTATGCGGATTTGCCATATTAACCATCTCTTTTCTCTGGATTTCCTTTCTTCCTTGCACCATGTCTTCCTCTGTTGTTTTCTTAACTCACTAGATACGTTGGAGCTGGTGGGTCATGGTAGAAAGCTAACATGGGAAGTAAAGCCTCGAAGGTACATATATACATACATGTATTATTATACATACACTAACTACCTTTCAGTCCCATAGATGTAAGTTTACACTATTTGCCATTTCGTTTTACCTCCTTTTTCCTCTCTACTTCGCTACCCCCCCCCCTCTTCTATCAGTATATACTCCTTGCAATATACAGTGCAACCTCCGAATAAGGGACACCATGAGATCAAGAATTTTCTCCCTTGTAGAGAGGTCGTCCCTATCTCGGAGGTCAAATAGTACGCTAGAGTATTAGCATGGGGTTGAAACAAGTGTCCTTTGTAGAGAGGTCGTCCCTATCTCGGAGGGTCTCTTATCAGAGGTTCCACTATATAAAGCTCCCCTCTCTTTCCTTTCTCAGCATCCACTGCAGTGTATCAAGTGCCATTTGCAGCAACGATTGCCTAATATTCGAGACTGCAGTGGCTTCACATTTCGGAGACAATGGAAACCTTGCTATCAATGTCACAATCTACAAGACATCGTATTACTGACACACCCCTCATATCTGTAGTCATAGTAACTTATGCACCATATTATATGCAATAATATGCCTTTGTTCAATCACAGTAATTGTACTGTCTTTACGTGTGTTGTATCATTTTGCTCTCTATGTGGTGTGTCTGTAATGATGTAGTTGAAGGTATATACAAATACACACGTGTGTGTGTGATGCAATGCACCAAAAATCACGTGATCTGAACGTTACGGCGCGCGCATGCGTGTTTACTCCTGCGCATGCATAGAGAGGGCGGTGCCGCGCGTTTGATCGACTAGGGGGCGCGTTGCCCGGATAAACAACTAAACAACAGAGCCGATCAGCTTTTCTATCCACGGCAAACTACTGCACTGCTTGAACATTCTTAGAAACACAAGAATGTAAATCAATGGTTTACTGAGAGTAGACAAGAAAGTAAATCACAGTTAAAGTAAACCACTTGTTAATTGTCAATTATTAATTTCCTGAGAGGTTCCTTCCTAGTAAACCCGCAGTGAGGGTATACTTGAAATTTACTACTTAGTTAACTGCTTACCGGGCATGCTCTGAATATCATCTGATCCCGACTGAGACCACCCGGCTGAGTTGGGTGTAGGTTTTGGCGATAGTGCGGGGCAGGACACGCCCATCCCCCCAACGCCAGTCACGGGCGTATTCTTGAGGAGGGATAGAAGCGCTGAAGACGGGCGCCGCCGCGCAGCAACGGCGCCCATAAGCCCTACCCAGAGGAAGGGGCCTCTGGCCCCTCCCCCCATACGGGAGAACGCCCGCCCCGCCCCGAACACACAATGATACCAATAACATCACGGAGAAACCAACAAACTAGAGTATCGTGTCAGCTGGCTCCTGGGGATTCGCACGTATTGCTGATAGGCCACGCTCTCCCATCTCCCTAATGTATTTATGATGCTGTCCGCGATGCCCTTCGCGGCTGCGGTAGTCGCCGCACCTATCCAAAAACTGTGACCGTTGTACCGCCTTTCACCGATACCGGCTGCCGTCAGAGCTCCTTTCACAGCTTCCACAAAACGCCTACGGGTAAGCAACCGCCCGTCCGCGAAAGCGAACAACGGACCAGACTGCGGACCCCTGGCCACTAAAAAATTCCGGATAGCTCCGTTTCCCGTCCGCCCCAGAAACAAGTCGACCCCTCTCCGAAACGGATCCGTTTTCGATTGTTTGATGGCGATTCTCACGAATGAGGGGCGGACGGGGTCATCCACTGCTATATCTTCGAAGCTGAGGTGAACGCTTGGGTCGTAGCTCGCATCGTCTGGAGACGTCAACTCGCCTACCCGCAGCAAACCAAAAAAGGCGAGGCAGCACGCCGCCCACAGCATCTTAGTGTCGCGAAGGGACGCAGTAGGTGCCCACACCTTCTTCATCATCGTCATAACAACCGGGGTGATAGGCAATCTTACCCTCCCCTCCACCTGGCTTTGAGATTGCACCCTCTTTATTCCTCTCGACGAGGCATAGCTATGAGCTCCATTGAAAGGGTCTTGTAAGCCCGATCTTATTTGGAGGTACCTCACACCTGACAAATAAGTCTTAACCCTAGGCGCGCATGCGCAGCGAGGGTTATAGTACTTGGTCTGTGTTGTCTGCTGTCTGTCTGTCAGCAGCTTTTATGGCACTACAAGTTACGAGGCGGCCTACCGCCGATATCAACGGCTGCAAAAGAGCGATTTTGCTGAAACGACTGCGTTCGAGAGCGAGAAACTGGCACAGTCGCGGACGGAGTTGGCCTATTAGCTGTGCGCATGTGTATAATTATTATGATTCGGCGCAGCTCACCACGACCGGGTCCGCTCGCTCTGTGTATACTGGAGGCACAAAAAGTCACAACCATGTAGTCAGCAGTCTTTCATTCACCAATCTATTTCATTATGGAACTGTTTACCTGCTGCACCTGTGACTGCCACTTCATTTTCAGTATTACACACTTCCTTTGTTTATGGTGCACTTCATTATTAGCAGTATGCTGCTATTGGTGTATCCTTGGTCTTAGTGCCTAATCATTTAAAAAGATATATAATATATAGAACTTTCCATTCCCACCATCAATTATATACCAAGTCTCCAGGAACAAGTTTAATTTTCACTTTTTCTCTTCTAACCCTTCATTCCATTTTATGTGTCCATGTGCTAAGTGTAGCAATGTGTTCATCCATAGTTATTCTATGACTTAGGACTTCAGCATTACTATTTGGCATTCCCTCAGCACATGTAGCTACATGTCACTATAAATGGCTGCACTTTCTCCTCTCTGGCCCCCTCCTCTATAGCCCACTTTCACTGTTTTCTATCATGTATTAATGATTGACACATTAGCTAATCGTGTGTTCTTACCATTCTGACCACATTCATGCAAGTCCTTGTTGGCTTTCTTCAGAAATTTGACACTCTCTGTTCCCTCGCTCGCCTGTGCAACATGCGCATCGAGAAAATACTATATCATGGAGCATGTACACCCGTTTGTCATCAGTTTGTTAGATGTAGATTGATGCTTCCTTCGCCATGCCCAAACTCTCTTTGTATAACTATACTAAGGCTTCATAGAAGTGTCTGTCGGCAAAGAAAAGAAAAGCTGCTGCAACCGCAATAAAAACAATGCCCCACGGGTGCCTCAAACATATATTATTAGCAGCAGAAAAGCGAGACTAAGCCAGGACTCGATGCCTGCAGAGAAACTACTCTCATCCTCCAGTGCCTTCTGTAAGTTAGTGTACACATTTGTAAGTGACTAGCTTGGGTTTTGCTGTTGATTTACACGAGGAGCAACTTGGCAATCTGCGCCGTGTTACGCATGCCTTGCCAGGCGCCTTCATTCTTTGTCCCCCAGGTTATAGCTTTTATTTTAGTCTGATCTCTGAAGCCTGCCCAATGAAACCACCACCATATGTGCCAAAACCTAATCGCGTCCTTGTTGGAGACACTACGCATACACCCTGCTTCAGGTAGGAGCAGTCCATTAGCTTCTGCTTTCAACAGTTATCCCTGCAACATACCACATGAACATCAGAGTGACTGAAAATGCAGTGTTGTCATAAGCCATTAAAAAATTAATAGTGGAAGCAAGTGGAAAAATCATTTCTTCAAAATGAAGGGGGATATAGGGATGGCTTGAAGCACCAAAAAGGAAGAAACAAGAGGTCATTACACACCAAATATGCACAAAGCCACATGACACCATCCCTATATCTTTGTTTTATTGTTCATAACCAAAGTTTAATATGAGACAAAGATATAGGGATGGTGTCATGTAGCTTTGTGCATCTTTGCTGTGTAATGACCCCTTGTTTCTTTCTCTTTTGTGCTTCAAGCCATCCCTTTATCCCCCTTTCATTTTGAAGAAATGATTTTTCAACTTGTTATAGTAAAGCTTGAGTAGTAGGCATGAATACCTCCTGGTAGCTATGTAGTTCCAACTTGTTAACCATTGGCGCGCATGCGCAGCGAGGGTTACAGTAGTTAGTTTGTCTGTCTGTCTGTCTGTCTGTCTGTGTGTCGACACTTATTCTGGCCCTACAGGCCAGGTGGCGGCCTGGCCTATTAGAGATAGCAGCGGCTTCAAAACTATGCGAGCCTGAAGAAAAGGCGACTTTTCCTGAAACGACTGAGTGAGAGAGATATGCCGCGAAAAAAAGCCAATTGCATAATTAACCCTCGGCACGCATGCACAGCAAGGGTTTGTGTGTCTGTCCGTCTGTCCTTCCGTCTGTCTCTTACCACACAACGGGACAACAAAACAGTGATACCAATTTTTTCATCGCTAAACTAGCTTCATTTTTAAAAAGGCGATTTTCGTATAACTACTGTGTTCAAATGTTATGGCTTATTATTATTCTGATTATAATCACTATAAATGTCAAACAGTGGCAAAGAAATGGAACAGTGCATTCCAAAACTCTCACAATTATATTCAAGTAATTATTTTCAATGATCGACTGTTACACAATGCTTTGTAAGATGTTTGGTAATAGTCTGTCTGGGTGCGAGGTGTGCAGAAATCAAATTGGGGGAAGTACATTTTGAGCTGTATAAAGGCTGCTGAGAAAAGAAAATGCCTTGTGGGAATTATATACAAAGTGTCCATTGGTAATATTTACAAGTTTTGAGATCTGCATCTGGTATGTAGAGGTTGCAGGTTTAGGAGGTGCAGCATGTCATCGTAGCTCATGTCCCATATATTTAGACAAACTTTGCAAGCAAATGTTAAGCTAGAGAGCTTCAACATCATTCTGGTTGCATGCCTGAGCAGCACACTCAAAATGTGGTCGAATGCATGTGTCAACAACCTGGCAGCGAGGTAGAAAGTCAAGGCAAGGCAAACAAGTCAACTACACTCAGGTGGTGTGTCAGATGCACAGTACGAAGCGTGAAGGTGTCAGCCCAGGTCTGTACTGCACTTATTAACCCTCGGCGCGCATGCGCAGCGAGGGTTACGGTAGTTGTCCCGTAAGTGTGTCTGTCTGTCAGTCTGTCAGTCTGTCCGTTACCACGTTTTCTGCCACCGCGCGCACGAAATCAGGTAAATAGCGATATGATCGGGTTCAGTGCTACACTGGGTTGATTTTAAAAAAAGGCGATTTTCGGAAAACTAATGTGTTTTAAAGTTATGGTGTGAAAACCAAGTGAACAAGCCAATATGTAAACTAGCACAGGCTTACCTCGACCGCGTCCGTTCGCTCTGTGTGCCTTGAAGGCACAACAAGTCACAACGAAGGGCATGTATCGACTCCCGCCTGCTATTTACTACTGTAGCTAGCCCGTGCCAGACTCTCCGCGAGCTACTAGCGGGATACCACGAGTAAAGGCATAAAAAGCCCATCCCATCAATTAGTGGTACCGCACATGCGCAGTTCGCCGAGGGTTTGCACTTTAGTGCTTTTCATTCACATAGGTGCCGGATGTGTTCAGACCATAAGATGTGTTGGTTACTATGACTCCCAGGTAGCAGTAGCTTTCAACTTGTAACTCGTTCAATCTGGCAAATGTATATAATAATAATATACTGATGGATACTTCTTGAGGAGGGAGAAGAGGCCGTCTTTTTCTTGACCCCAGAATACACTTACACTTTGATCCATTTAGAGCAAGATGCAATTTCTCAATGTGATTTGCTATAGCTGTGATATCCTCTTGCAATGATAATCATGTGCATCCTAGATCGGTTTGGTAAGATCATCTGCATACAGTGTCATGAGCACCATTTGACAGAGGAAGCTGGCTGATGATGATTCTCTACGATTCTGGTAGCTTTTGCTTGCAGGAAAAACAGGTATCGCTTACTAAAAGGATCGTACTCCGTCGAATGCGTGACCAATTTGTGTGAGTTCTAGCTATCTACCATCACCAGTTTACGAAATCGCGTAAAAATCGCGAATCCCGTGCGATGATTTCAGGGCGGGCTATGGACGGATGGGCATAATAAAAGGACCCGCAAAGAATATAGAATGCCTTGGTAGACCCTGTAACTGGTATGGAGCGAGTTTGCACCTGTTCTATACGCGGGTCACGTGAGATTGTTAATTGTCCACGGACGCTCCGGTAGAACTCCAGAAAAAGATATCAACGCATGCGCCACTTGGATGACGTATGCGGATTATGCGCCGATCATTCCCCTTGCCCCAGAATTCGGTGGGCTTCGCACTCGTTGCCGTGGAAGAAGACGTAGTGTCGTTATGGCACCGAGTACTTCCTTTTGCTTCTGCATCTTAGCATTGTTCACTCTGTTCAATCGTGGTCGGTGTGATTGCTGTGAAGATTTCTACCACTTTTCATGTATGTCAATCTCTAAAAAATATTCGTGTCTAGCTAGCTACCCCATGCACAGGGACCTTCGGACCTACCATAAACATCTCGCTTGAGGGTTCAGCATACCTGCGAATAATGGCAAACTATATTGATACTTACATCTGCGATATCTTTGGTGTTTATTGGGAGATATTGAGAGCTGACGGTGAATTTGAGGTTTACACTGTAGCAAACCAAGATGAGTACGATTATGGAAGATATGAAACTCTTGATGACAGGGGGCTGAGTTTTGCTGGGTACTGTAACTTTGGCTGTAGTCCACGGCTGACAATCACTCCAAGTGACATGAGATACAATGGGGCTCAAATCACTGGGGTGGTCAATCTTCCAGTGTGCTACAATGCTACAAATACGACCAATACAACTGTTCTCTCAATTCAAGGTTAATGATTTGGAAGGGTTGGTAGGAAATTGATAACCTGTCAGGATAAGCATTGACCTAAATTTCCCTGTCCACTAGTTTTGAAAATGTTTTACTAGCTGTAAGTTTCCTGGAGAGGTAGCTCCTATCTCATACTTGGTTAGCCAGTTTCTCATTAAAAGCCAGTTGGACTATTAAACAATGTCATAATTAACCCTCAGGTCTGCTGGAGGCTCCCACAGATGTATACTATACAGCCAGTAAAGAGAGTGTGATAGTGTCATGGAGTCCTCCATTCACCCTGGAAGGAGTCCCCATACTCCACTACAGTGTCTATATCACCAGTCAGGGAGTCTCAGAACAGAGAAACACCACTGAAACACACATCACTCTGGAGAGACCATGTGCCAGCACCACCTACCAGATCAGTGCATGGAATGAAGTGGGAGAGGGAAATGCTACCAGAAAAGGTGACACATCCTTGACATAGCAATGGGTCTTTAAAAATGAAAAACCATCCATAATGATGTGGGGCATACCTGCTTAAAAAATTGAAGAATTCATGACTGTGATTGAAGCAGGTGCCAGAGTTATTGGTGACACAAAAATTCCATGCAGTGGTTCACATAGAATAGAGGAATGCAAAACCATGAGGACGAGCAAAGTGAGCAGTTTGATATTTCACGTGTGTTATAGCGCATACTTAGAATCACTTGGTAAGTGCATTGGAAAAAAATATGTGCATAATTTTACATTCAGAAAACTAGGTGGGCTCACTTCCCTCGCTAATAAACCGGATACCATGCATTACTCAACATTAACACAAACATTTCATTCTTCCAGCATTCTTGATGATCTTTGAAGCAGCTGTCGAAGTTATTAGTGAGCTGTTAGAACCAGGAATATGTCTTTCCTGTTCTTTCTCCTCTGATTCGACTGCTGATGGCTGCACTGTCAAAATGGAAAATGAAAAACATGTTTTTGTTTTCAATGCCACCCGAAGCAATAACAATGATGACAACCTTGTACTACTGGAATGTTTCTCAGTTCCAGAAGGAGGGGAGTACAGTGTCAGTGTCCATGAGATTCACAACAGTGTTGTACAGAATCACATTGGCATTCTAGTGAACAGCATTACAGTTTCAATTACAAAAGGTATGCCTGTGGTATCACTGTAACAACGAAACTAAAATTACTATGTATGTTACTTGTAGGTGCCTCAGTCAAGTATTCCAATGTGAAACCAGTGAGTGGAGGGATATGTGCCTTTTGTGTTTTCACAAATGGCTCTACTGCTAAAGGATGTTCAATAACACTATTCAGTGATCAGATTACATTAAACTACACGATACCTCGTCACTCAGCTTATGACATAGCATTACAGGAATGCTTCAATGTGCCACAATCAGGATCATACCATGTACTGGTATCAGAGATTCTAATGGATGGATCAGAGGGCTACAATACACTGGAGCTACCTGATATCACTATAGCATTAGCCTCTGCAACTGACAATACTGCCAAGCAAGAAAATGGTAGGCTCTACTACTACCAAACCAGCGTTATAGGTTGAGATGTGCTTTTTTTAGGGACTCCAACAGTAACTGGACTTTCTGCTGTCCTTGGTCTAACACTGCTGGGCTTGGACTTTTCCACTTGTAAAAGGTTTGAGCAGGGCACTGCTTTGCTTTAACCACAAATTTGAAATGTTAACCTGCCTGCTGCTCTATGTTACTTTTCACAGTATATTAATGCATGCTGACCAAGTAGCTATATACAATGAGGATTGAGGACACACATGTACGTAAGGGTTAAAGTGCCATGACACTCACAATGTTCATGTACACATGAATACAACATGGAAAATCGAAATGAAACGAATGGTCTAAGTTTAGCAATGCCCATGCCAGCAAGGGCCACAGTAGAGCTCCTCCCAGGACACCCAGACCCAGGAGACCATCTACAGGGAGGTCAACAAACAACAAACCATCACAGTTATCGTATGTAGGTAGTGAATGGAGTTAACGTAGTTAGAATTAAACGTAGTTAACAATGAGTCTCAGTGGTGCCACGCCTCCGTGAGTTTTTTTTATTTCGGACGCATGCGCAGTCTATGACCTCATGTTCAGGCGAAAGAGTCTCAAGCAGGTGACCGACAGCGTGGAGCAGCAGTTTTCCCACCCACCCACCCTATTTCCTCTATTGGGTTACCACACAACGAGACAACAAAACAGCGATTTTCTTATAACTAGCTACTGCATTCAAAGTTTTTGTTTATTATTATTCCCATAATAATCACTATAAATGTCAAACAGCGGCAAAGAAATGGAACAGTGCATTCCAAAACTCTCACAAATATATTCAAGTAATTCTTTTCAATGATCAACTGTTAGGTGACACAATGCTTTGTAAGATGTCTGATAATAGTCTGTCTGGGTGCGAGGACTGCAGAAGTCAAATTGGGAAATACATCTTGAGCTGTATGTAGTAGGCTGCTGAGAAAAGAAAATGGCTTGTGGGAAATACAAGGGTCCATTGATAATGTAAGTTCTGAGATCTGCAACTGGCATGTAGATGTGGCAGGTTCAGGAGGTGCAGCATGTCATCGTAGCTCATGTCCCATATATTTAGACAAACTTTGCAAGCAAATCTTATTCGAGAGCTTCAACGTCTTTCTGGTTGCATGCCTGAGCAGCATACTGTAAATGTGGTCGAATGCATGTGTCAACAACTTGGCAGCGAGGTAGAAAGGCAAGGCAAGGCAAACAAGTCAACTAACTACACCAGGTGGTGTGTCAGATGCACAGTACGGAGCGTGAAGGTGTTAGCCCCAACACTTATAACCCTCGGCGCGCATGCGCAGCGAGGGTTACGGTAGTTGTCCCGTAAGTCTGTCAGTCTGTCTGTTACCACGTTTTCTGCCACCGCGCGCACGAAATAAGGTAATTAGCGATTTTCGTAATACTACTGTGTTCTAAAGTTATGGCGTGAAAACCAAGTGAACAAGCCAATAGCAAATTAGCACAGGCTTACCTCGACCGGGTCCGCTTGCTCTGTGTACCTTGGAGGCACAAGACGTCACAACGAAGGGCGTTTATCGACTCTCGCATGCTATCTACTACTGTAGCGAGCCCGTGTCAGACTCTTCGCGAGCTACTCCACGAGTATGTATACTACAAATAGCCCAGCCCATCAATTATCGGTACCGCGCATGCGCAGTTCGCCGAGGGTTTGCACT